AGGCCGGAAGCAACGAATAACAAATCCGGAAACTCCTCATGTTCATATTTTAAGGTTTGGAACTGTTCTGCCCTAAACCATATTTTAGAGTTGTTAAACATGCAAAGTAAGGCCACCATGGTAAACTAGGCAAAATTCTACCCCATTTACATATAAAGTTTGTTAAAAACGGAGCTACGGTTATTTAGTTATGAATTAAACCATTTTAGCATGGCATATGGACAAAGTTACACAAATAGCATTTTAAACATTTTAAACATGGGAGAAAATGACATATTATTAAACTAGACAAAATTCTGAGCAAGTTTTATATATAAAACATTTTAATCCGATGCACGAATTGTGAGTTATTATATGCTTGAACATGAGGGTCTTTTCTGTAAAACTGCAGTCCCAGGAAAAATGGCTAAAACGCAGATCTGAAAAAAAACAGGAACTGGGCCAAAACTGGTGCAAGTCTGGGCCAACTGAAAAAATGGACGCTGCTGGTGGGGCGTCTCACCATGGGCCAAGGCCCAGTTCGGACGAGACGACAGGCTTTAGCTGGGCCTGGGAGAGGCCGCTGGGTCAACAATTGAAGGGGAGGTGGCCCAGGTACGTGCGATCGACGCAGGGGCCATGGTCGCGGGCACTCCGGCGAACTTGCCGGCAAGGAGGCGCGGAGAAGAACGTGGAGCGGTGGATCCGTGCAAGGATGGATGGGTCCGGTGCAGAGGGGTCCGGATCCAGCCGGAGGAGGGGCGACGGCGACTTGGGGTCGCAGCGGCAAACTCCGGCGGTCCCCTGACGAACTGCAGAATGGGAGGCAGAGAGAGATGAGCTCGGGAGAGCGAGTGGATGGAAAAAGGAGAGGAGAAGAGACGGCGATTTGGGGCACTGGCCTGGGGTTCGCCGGCGAGGGCACTCCGGTGGCCGGCGATGCGAGGCCGGCGCGCTGGATCTGATGCGCCGAAGGAGTCCGGCGGGGAGGCGTGGAGACGGGGCAGAGCGGCGGAGGAGCTCGGATCGGGATCTCCCTCTCCCGATCTGGAGCTCGGGGAGCAGGGGCGGCGCAGTGCGGGCCTCAGAGCCCAGATCGGGGCCCGGGCGGGCCTGGAGCGGGCCTGGCGGTGCGGGGCGATGTGGGACGCGGGGGGCGACGTGGCGGCTTCCCGTTGGCTGCGGGCATCCTGCGTGGTGGCGGCTGGCCACCAGGATGGCGCCAAGTGGCGGGGACGAGGTGGCCGGCGGTGGAAATAGAGGAGAGGAGGGGGGAGGCGGCTGGCTGATGATTGGGGGCGCGGATTTCGAGGAGGAAGGAGAAGGCCCAAAATGGCATGGAGGGGGTCTATATAAGGTAAGGGGGCTAGGGTTAGGGGGTTTGAGGCCGTTTCGGAGCCGTTCGATCTCGATCGGACAACCCAGAGCGGAGAGGGTTAGATAGGTGGGCTAGCAAGTGGGTTGCGAAAAAAAGGTTGGGCTGAGATGAGAGGAGAGGAGTGCAGCCCGGCAACTGTTTCCGGAGACCGAAAACATCCGACGTTAGACCGACTATAATGCGATGAAACTTGGCAGGCGGCCTACCTACAACATAACAACACCACATGCCAACTTTCAACCCATTCCGAGAACATTTTCCGTCCACTTATGAAATAATATTTCAGACGTGCCGCGGGCGCGTGCAAGTGTGTCTGGGCTCAGAACGGACAACAGAAGGAACTGGGAAACCCGGACGGATGCAAGTTTTGAAAACATGATAATGCAATGTACATGATGACATGACAAGATGCAACACGCAAGCGAAAGACATGACAACGACGGCGAATAACTGGACGACAACTGGTACATCGGTCTCGGGGCGTTACACGCGGTCTCTCTCTCTCCCTCTTTTGTCTCACACAAGAACACACACTAGAGGAAGACTCAACACATACGCGCGCATATACCAAAAACAGCACAGAATATTTGCCCAGAGGCACTCTTACTTGGCAGCCACAAACACTACATTGTTTTCCCGGCCCTCACGGCCTCTCATTTCATTAACGCAATGCAATGTATTTATAGAAAGGACCTGGCACTCACACACGCAGTATCCTAGCCTGCACACTCGGCCACTTATCCCACTAAGCCATGCACTGAGCTAACCATCTATTTGCATGCACCTATTCTATCTCCTTGATTCGCTCCAACGTCCAGACTACTCAGACAACCACCTGACCAAGCAAACTACATGCGTGCACACTATAACAAACTACTCCCTCCGTTCCAAAATAATTGTCTTTCTAGCCATCTCAAATGGACTACAACATACGGATGTATGTAGACATGTTTTAAAGTGTAGATTCACTCATTTTGCTCCGTATGTAGTCACTTGTTGAAATCTCTAGAAAGACAATTATTTCGGAACGGAGGGAGTAGTACACTATTCCATTCCGCCGGCCTGACTCCAGTGTGCCTTGCCGCTTCACGTGACCGTGCCACATCCCCCAACACCGCGGCTTCACACTGCAATCGACATCTCACCATGCTTGCTGCATCACACAGCAGCCCAGCATCTCGTCTTCTCTACACACTCAAGAGAAGCTTCCACGACTAGCTACTCCCTAAACCGTCTAAGTTATATGTAGACCCAAAGCTAAAACATGCAGATACGTCGAATCAAGATTAAAGCTAACACACCTCAGCGTCGAACTTGTGGCATGGTACAGGGTGGCTGGCGGAGCTCGCACACGGCGCGACGGGCGCGTCCCTGGCGCACTGCAGGTGGGCTCCACCGTCAAGAGCTTCATTTTTTGGGCACCCGGCGTGATGCTCCCGTTCGTCCTCGACGAGCCCCTCGCCACGCGCACCATGGCGGAGAAGGGGGTCAATGTGGAGGTGGCGAGGGACGAGGTTGAAATGTGGCTTCCGTACATGCGCGAGTGGCCATGGTGCAGCTACCACTAGCACAGGATGGACGGTTTCGAGCTCGGCAACGTTGCCATGGGTGTGAGAGAAGGCAGACAAGGTGCTCAAGGAAATGCATTTTGTTGTACGAGAGAGAAGAGGGGGGAAGGAGAGAGAAAACCAATACCTAAAAAAATGTGAAAACCAATGACATGTCAGCAGTTTTTGCCACATTTCTGGTTTTGGACGAAATGTATCTGGTTTTGAGGCATAAGCTAAATGTCGACCAAAAATAGGTGAAGGACTAGATGTCGGCCTCTTGTAAATTTAAGGGACCAAAAACATATTTTTTCTGTTTCTGTAAGGACGTGAACGTGGCTAAACCTCGGCAAAGTGTGTGTGGATGGGGGTCTTGGAGTGGAGGAGGAGGTGGTGCTGGAGGTTGGGGGTCACGGAACCGAGGGGGGGAGGGACAAAGGTACATGAAGAGGCACATAGAAACAATGACCATGGTACAGGTCGATGAATTGATCGTAGTGGATGCAGCGGTGAAATGATGAGAAGTGGTGGCAATAGAAATATTACCAGTAGCTACAGAGAGTTCAAATAGTAGTGGCGGTGGTGGCAATGTGCAAGGCTAGCTGAGGGTAACGGTGGCGGTGGTGCTAGCGACATTTGTGGTAGCCTAGTTGGTGCTGGAAGCAGATGTAGCACCAGTTATCGTGTCATACGTCAGCACAAAGTTATTGTATAATGTTGACTTAGCACAAAGCCACATGGTGATTCAAATAAGGCATAAGCTTCGTTAGACACAAAAATTATATGACAAGTCGTGAATATTCCAGATTTATATCGGATTGGCTTAAATGCCTAGAAAGAATGCTATAATTATTGTGAGTACATATGTCTGCTTATATGATTGACATTTTGTTGATATGGCTATCATTTGGTTATTTACTTTGAATATATCTATATATCTGTGGCCTCTAAGTGCAAGGAATCAATTGCTCTTTTTTTCTTGCGAGGAAAGCTCTGGCAAGTACATATGGCAAGTACATGTAGCAGTGCTCAGATGATTAGCTTCCTTGAGGCAGAACCAACCCGTCAGGGTTCAAGTTATAGACTTGCATTGGTGATTGCATTTTTCCGAATCTATTTCAGGCCTTCCAACGATGTGCGTTGTGTGGGAGGAGACATTTCCGTCTACTACGAAGGCATCTGTAGCGATTTCATCAATTTTAAGATGATGTGCCGACTCATTTTCTCGGAAGTGCTCATAGGGATAGAGTATGTGTGTGCCCGTGCGTTCATAAGGGTGAGCGTATGTGTGTATGTATGAGCATCTATGTCTGTACTATGTTAAAAAAAGTACGCATAATTTTGACACGCAAATATTTACGACTATAGAAAAGCTGCTCTACCTAGCTTAACCAGACATCTAAAGAATAAGGTCGGTCCATATCTTCTAGATGGAATTAATTATTGCCTTGGAATGTATGCTGATAGTAATTACGTTTCAGTTACCATGAATCACTGGTGGTCATCTAGTAACTTTGGCCAATCCTGAATATATGGAACCACATTTAATTCACATATAGGAAAAATTGGTAGACCTTAATTCACACAACGTGCATGACCAATCGGTTTAATTGCGTACATATCTTTGTAAATAATTAATTTCAGTTCATCTATGCATTATGAGATAATTTAAATATGTTACTGATATTTTTGATAATAACTTGGTTACAATTGAACATCCTTTGAATAAGCATCCATCTTTAGAACATATTAAACTTGAAAATTAATATGGTAATGTATAGCTAAAATAAGCATATCCTGTTAATAAGATTCATGTGGCTCTTGAGAGAAACCATTCTTTTATCGCATTTTTGGCTCGGCCGACTACTATGAGCATTCCATGTGTTAATTTCAGAAATATTGTGCTTTAATGATGCATTTATGAAGCACCTCCTTATCCTATCAACTAACATTTAAAAGTTTCTGGATTGGCACGCTGCATCTTAATTGTCTTGAGTCTCTTGGCTGATCCTCCACTATAAATCTATCCACCCTTATTGCTTTCAACTCACCAAAACAAAGCAACTCTCCTTTGCCGCTTTATCCCTTTGTTGGAAATGGCTCGCAAGAAGGTGGCCCTCCGGTACATCCTCGATAAAAATTCCAGATGCAGTACTTCAAAGAAGCGGCGTGAGGGCCTACGGAAGAAGGCGGAGGAGTTGGCCATCATGTGCAATGCCAAGGCATGTGTGCTAGTATATGGCGAGGGCGAGGCGGTACCACAAGTGTTCCCGTCCCCCGCTGAGGCGGTGCCTGTCCTGGACCGGTATATGAATATGCCGGAGGGCAACTTCAAGAAGACGGTGAATCATGCAAGCTTTCTCAATCAACATTTTGGCAAGCTCCAGGCCAAGGGCCACAAGCTCCAAGACGTCTGTGAAGACAATGAGACCAGAATCCTCCTGCACAAGGTCATGCTCAGAAGCAACCTCTCGAGCCTTGATGGCCTCAACATCGAGGATCTCACCAATGTTGGCCGAAAGCTAGAGGTGATCCTCCAGAGCATGGGGGAAAGCATCACAAAAATTAGCGGCCAACCACCTGTCTTCCAGTCCCAGGAGCCATACGTCACCAACACCATGGACATGGGGTCTCCAGCAATGTATCACGCACCACCACCAGCTCCATACGTCACCAACTACATGCATGTGGAGTCTCCGTCGACTTATCAGGCACCACCAGCTCCATACATCACTGACAACATGGACATGGGGTCTTCGATGATGTATCCGACAGCGTCACCAGCTCCCTATGTCACTAGTGGCATGGACATGGGGCCTTCCACAATGTTTAAGGCTCTGCCGCAGCAACAAGAGGATGCACTTGACATGATGAGGTATGGAGGAGACCTCAACGCCCTGGTCTATAGTGGCTACAATTCTAGTGGTCGTAATGACACCGGCACAAGCACTGTCTTCCCTAGCGGTGATATTGACCCGAAGAGGTCGTTTGAGGTGGTGTTCGGTTGGCAGTTCGGTGGCGCTGATCCTGAAGCGTCTTCTTCAAGTCCTTTCCTCCCAATGTAAGCAAGGAGGGGATACATGTAATCCCATTAATAATAAGAGACATGTAATATTGGTTGTGCTCTTTGAGCACAAGCATATTTCATTTAGTCATTGCAATCGTTATTATGGATCTCTTCGACGGTTTGTTTGTTTGATCTCCGTGATTTAGCCGGTTCCAACTTCTATGTTGCACCTACTCTTTGCGTAAACATGCATGCTTTTTCCGGCATACCTTTTTTATCATAGTTTTTGTTGACCCTTGATGTCGCATCAAGTGATACAACCATGAAGAGTTCACTCCTGGTTTCTGCATAGCTAGATGCGCACAACCTATAGAAATCTACCACAGTTCTAGGAAAGTGAAAACACATGACATTGTTTGACACGAAAATAAGAAAAACTTCAAGAAATGGAGGACCGATCCGATGACTACACCTTCATCCATGTTAGGTAAAGAACTCCTTAAAAATCCCCTCTTCTATTATGACATGACTAAGCGGAGCTATATCAAAAACACGTAGGTATTGGACGCTAAGTGGGGGGAATTCCCAACCACGAGTCCTCCCAAAACCTAACACGTGCGTAATCCTTGACAGTGATAGTTTCGGACTAGAGAATAAGTCGTCTTCGCTTCACAAAAAGAACCAAAAAGTGGGAGTCCTCAGGTTTCCTCTAGACCTAGGACAGAATCTTCGAGCCCATCTATATAGTACTAAATATATCATGACATACCTCATCCTTGGTAAGAAGCTTGAATAACTATTTATGGATAATACATATTTGGGGATTTTTCTCCATGCCAATCTCGAAGGCCTAATACCTTTGAAAATGAAATTAATGAGCTCCTTCGAAATGTTCCAATATATTATAACAAATATTCCTATTTACTAAATGACACTTTAGCGCATTACTGAAGCAATCCTGAGGCATTCGGAGACCACTGGAAAGGCGTATCCGAGAAGAAATGCTAAAGGGGCAATGGAAAATGAGGTTCTCAATGGTATCTTCAACAACATTTCATGGTATGTAAGCATAGTTGTTAGTGACATTAAATTTTCTCTGCTTTTGCGTATTTAGCGTATTAAGCCTATCATAAAGAAGCAACCATAGAAATACTTTTAACTCCATTTTGGAACTTCAAAGAAATACATCACGTAAATAATCATATTAGAAAGCACAGAGTTGGTAATGAGATGTCCTCCTCCATAGGGAAATGCACCCCTTTCGAATTATTGAGACACTTTATATTCGTTCCTCTATGTGTTTCCACTCCTACTGGGCTCTCACAGGTAGACACATTTCTATTATATGCAACAAATTCCTATTTGTACTTGACCTTTAAAATTTTACATTTGACACTTTCTCTTCTTATGGTATATAAGTAAATGGATGTGCAAAAGAGGCTAGAAGAGAGGTAGAATTGCTTCAATGTTCAAGGACTAGCACGATGATAATAGGATGGCAAATGGAGTGATACGATACCCACGATAATGGGATAAGGTGAATGAGTACAAAAGCCATACAAGATATGAGTCATGGCTAGAGCTATAGATAACAAGGAGACAAGGTGTATATACTTTGAGTTTACCAAGTGGTTCTATGTTTTCAGTTTGCCTAAATGATAAGAAGATATGTGTTTTTAGGTGGCATCCAATTCTAAACATGTAATCCTTCCATGTTTTCCAAAATGCAAATGGGCATGCCTAAAGCATGGAGAAGGTAAGTGTGGTGGTTCACATGTTTTTTTTGGGGGGGGGGGGTCATGACAATAATGAGAGTGGATAAATGAAGTTACAGTGTCATTCAGAATGATTTCAAAATTCAAGTCAAGTGGCAATTTAAGGACATACATCAAGGCTAGATTTATGTGACAGAAACAGAAGAAAAGTATGATTTTTTAATGTTGATTCACTGCTAGAGGCAAGGGAATAGAAAAAAAATCGAGCATAGCAATTGCACTCCATAAGTGTCGTTCAATTTCTAGAATGATGTATCGGTAATGTGGTACATGTTACTGAAAGTGCAACTATCCCTAGGTGGTTTTGGTAATTCATAACAACATATAGCTCATTGAGCTAATGCTATTCCAAGATGACTATTTCAGGAAAGCTCAATGATTGGCATGGCATGGATGTGAAAGTGGAACCCTCAAAAGATTGGCTCAAGCTCAAAAGCTCAAGACTCTTCATTTTATATTTTAGTGATCCAAGATCATATTGAGTCTTTAGGAAAAGCCAATACTATCAAGGAGGGATGAGGTGTTGCTTAATGAGCCTCTTGCTTCATGTGCTTAGTGATATGCTCCAAAACCCTCAACTACTTTCCCATATCCACATATGACCTAAACCCTAAGCCAAACTCGGTCCTACCGATTCTTTCTATCCGGCGCCACCGAGTTTCACTTGTCATAAGCCACTGCCAAACCCTAGCAATTCGGTTCTACCGATAGGGATCTCGGTCTCACCGAGATGGGATTGCAAATTCTCTGTTTCTCTTTCGTAAATTTTCGGTCTCACCGAAAGAGCGAATCGGTCCCACCGAGATTGCAGTGTAAACTCTTTGTTTCCTTTTTGTAACTTTTCGGTCTCACCGAAATAGAAAATCGGTCCCACCGAGTTTACCTGACCAACTCTTTGGTTAGCTTATTACCAAACTCGGTCTCACCGAGTTTGTGTAATCGGTCTCACCGAGATTACGTTATGCCCAAACCCTAACCATATCGGTCCTACCGAGTTGCATGTCAGTCCCACCGAAAATCTCTAACGGTCACTAGGTTTACCTTTTCGGTCCAACCGAGTTTGTTGATTCGGTCCCACCGAGATTGGAAAACTGTGTGTAACGGTTGGATTTTGTGTGGAGGCTATATATACCCCTCCACCTCCTCTTCATTCGTGGAGAGAGCCATCAGAACACATACACAATTCCAACTCATATGTTCTGAGAGAGAACCACCTACTCATGTGTTGAGACCAAGATATTCCATTCCTACCATATGAATCTTGATCTCTAGCCTTCCCCAAGTTGCTTTCCACTCAAATCTTCTTTCCACAAAATCCAAATCCTATGAGAGAGAGTTGAGTGTTGGGGATACTATCATTTGAAGCACAAGAGCAAGGAGTTCATCATCAACACACCATTTGTTACTTCTTGGAGAGTGGTGTCTCCTAGATTGGCTAGGTGTCACTTGGGAGCCTCCGACAAGATTGTGGAGTTGAACCAAGGAGTTTGTAAGGGCAAGGAGATCGCCTACTTCATGAAGATCTGCCGCTAGTGAGGCAAGTCCTTCATGGGCGATGGCCATGGTGGGATAGACAAGGTTGCTTCTTCGTGGACCCTTTGTGGGTGGTTGCTTCTTCGTGGACCCTTCGTGGGTGGAGCCCTCCGTGGACTCGCGCAACCATTACCCTTCGTGGGTGGAGCCCTCCGTGGACTCGCGGGACTGTTACCCTTCATGGGTTGAAGTCTCCATCAACATGGATGTAGGATAGCACAACCTATCCGAACCACGGGAAAAACATCCGTGTCTCCAATTGCGTTTGAATTCTCCAAACCCTTCCCTTTACATTCTTGCAAGTTGCATGCTTTACTTTCCGCTGCCAATATACTCTTTGCATGCTTGCTTGAATTGTGTGATGATTGCTTGACTTGTCCTACAATAGCTAAAATCTGCCAAGAACTAAAATTGGGAAAAGGTTAAGTTTTTATTTGGTCAAGTAGTCTAATCACCCCCCCTCTAGACATACTTCGATCCTACAAGTGGTATCAGAGCTTTGGTCTCCATTTGCTTTGATCTCCATAGCTTTTGGTGGTCATAGCCTTGGTTTCACAACCTAGGAGAGTATGGCGTCTAGCGAGGGAAATTATCACCGTAGAGGTCCTTAATTTGATGGTACTAATTTTGCTAGTTGGAAGCATAAAATGAAAATGCATATTCTTGGACATAACCCCGCCGTTTGGGCTATTGTGTGTGTTGGTTTGCAAGGTGACTTCTTTGATGGGAAAGAACCAAACCGTGAAGCTACCGCGAATGAGTTGAAGATGTTGCAATACAATGCTCAAGCTTGTGATATTCTCTTCAACGGATTGTGCCCCGAAGAATTCTACAAAATCAGCCGTCTTGAGAATGCAAAGGAAATTTGGGACACTTTGATTGATATGCACAAAGGTACCGACTCCGTCAAGGAATCCAAGTTGGATGTGCTTCAAAGTCAACTTGACAAGTTCAAAATGAAGGATGGTGAAGGTGTCGCTGAAATGTACTCTAGGCTTGCTCTCATCACAAATGAGATTGCCGGCTTAGGAAGTGAAGAGATGACCGATAGATTCATCATCAAGAAGATTCTAAGAGCCTTGGATGGAAAATATGATACCGTGTGCACATTGATCCAAATGATGCCCAATTACAAAGATCTCAAGCCAACGGAGGTGATTGGAAGAATTGTTGCTCATGAGATGTCACTTAAGGATAAAGAGGAACTTCACAACAAATCAAGTGGTGCCTACAAAGCCTCATGTGAAGCCCCTACATCATCAAGTGAGAAACAAAACTTCAATGAAGAATTGAGCTTAATGGTGAAGAACTTCAACAAGTTCTACAAGAGTAGAAGGAAAGATAGAAGCTTCAAGTCAAGGTCCTACAATGACAAAAGATCTTCTAGTCGAGAGCGAAACTGCTACAGTTGTGGAAGACCCGGACACTATTCCAATGAGTGTACGGCTCCCTACAAGAGAAGAGAAGATTCTCCAAAAGGAAGAAGCAAAGAATCACCACCATGAGAGAGAAGGAGTAGAGATGATCGTTATGAACGAAGATACTCACGGAGAAGCAAGGATTCGGAAAGGAAGGAAAAATCATCAAGGAGCTACACAAAACAAAGACATCAAGCTCATGTTGGTGAATGGGTATCCGGCTCCGACTCCAATGGCCACTCCGAGAGAAGTTATCAATCCGACTCCGAAGATACTCAAGATGAAGGTGTTGCCGGTCTAGCACTTGTGTCAACCAACTCCTACGACATATT